GGAATAAAAATGAAATATTATATGTATATACGTATACAAATACTGAGGTATTTCATTTACAATAAATCGTAGAAATGAAGTGCGCGTTGATCCATGCTACTTTCCGACATCGCTCGAACACTTAAGGAACTCAGAAATTGAATTTTCATCGAATTGCGCTCGAGGAACGGTTCATAGTACAAGAACAAGAATTTCCGTAATCTCCCTAAACTGCGAATGGACCCTTGTTTTTCGGGGTGTTGTACTTATTGTTACGTAACAATTTTAATTTGACTCGTCAAAGTTCTCATATAACAATCTGTTACCATAAATTTTGATATAGCTGTATACAGGGTGTTCCGTGAAACGCGAGCGCGTCCTTGAAACTGTCATCAACGGTCCATTTACCATCTCGCGCGACGATTAAATAGAAACATTCCCGTGGATCCGATCGATCGTCCGATCCGTCGAAATCCGAGGAACGGGAACCACCGAGTTCGCGTCCCCGTTTCACGAAACACCCCCTCGATCTATAAATTTTCTCTCACGAATCTGATTTCTATAAACCATCGCTTACTTTCGTCGTCTGTCATTTCATTCACGGAGCCACACGCTGCGCGGCATGGGAGCCGCCTATGTACAAGGGTGTTAACGAGCCCATCATCCGTATTTCGAACTTCTGTTAATGATAGAAATTAAGATTATTAATTAGATGTAAATGAGCCGCAGGTGATATGACAAGATATGTACGAATTGTATATGGACTCCACGAGGGATCGCTCCGTTCCGCGTGAAGTCGCGAACACCTTCGGAGCAAACGTTCATTTACACGCGTCTCGTTAACGTCTAAATGAACCTCCGTTCGAGAAAACAAGTAGATATGTAAGTAAGTACACACATTTATACGCCACCGTAACACCAAACTGTCATGCAAGAGTACAATGATTCATAAGGAAATGGATATCAGCACGGCGGGTTAAATTTGAAGGACGGGGAGGAGGAAGAGGAGGAGGAGGGTCAATGTCTGATAAAGGATCCTTTGATAAGTTTCTAACCGCAACGTAATTACTGGTGCGAAAGAAAGGAAACGAAGAATTTGGAATTATCCAACGCATTCGAACGCCGGGCGGGTTCTCCTGTGTTGCACGTTCGAAAACCAAGGGATTCCGGTGGATGTTTTCAGTTTAGTAGGCTTTCACTGTTAGGCCGTGGTTTAGTGACCAGATTCTGTAAGGCTCTTATTTCGTTTTCCGTTAGGTTAGGAGGTCCGAAGAGAAACTCCCTACGAGAGCTCGGGTTGGACAGAAGCTCCTGCATGTTCTCGTTGGTTAGCACCAGATAATGCAGTGAGGTCTGAGTTAAATTTACTTTCCTAGCTAAAGTCCCAGTCACGTGGACATCGTCGATCCAGAAGTATGGCTCCCGTTGGGCTTCGCGATACAAAAGAAACACGCTATCGGGGGAGTACAGTATAGCCCATCCGGCGCAGTACGCGGGATAACGTTTACCAGGATACTCCTGGGGCGAGACCCTCCATTTCGAGCGCCAGGACCTCTTCACGGTGGCCATGGAGAGGAGGTCGCAGAGGATCAACCTCCTGGCGCCCCACGGTGACAGGTCGCGCGTCAAGAAATCCAACATGGCGGGAATATGAACAAAAACATCGTCGTCTAATTTTAGTATATATTTGGCACCTGGAACAATGGGAAGTTGATTAGTTAAGGAAACTATTGATCAAGGATTATTTACGTTAATGTGTTAGAATAATCAATGATCAAAGATTCTATGAGATTATTTTCTAAGGACAGAGTAAAGAGTATGATCATTAGATCATTTCTATGTCCAAAGCTGTTTCTCTTAACATGTTAACCATGGTGGTGACCGGAGCTTCCAAATTGCTTGAAAACAATTACAAGAATATTGCTATTGAATCGAAATATTAAGTAACACATGAAGCTAGATAATGTCATACCGAAACATTCATTATTATTTCTAATAAAAATATTATTATTAATAATATTATTTCTAATAGAAATATTAAGTAAGACACGAAGCTAGATAATAGCGTAATATGAGCAGTGTGATACCAAAACATTAATAATTATTTCTAATACTATTTGCAGTACAAAGGAATAAATCTTGCTATGACGAAACGCTCGAGATTCTCGTAACAGTCAACGCGTTAACACGAAAATCTTCACCGTGTTTCCGTAGAGCTATCCTTTTGCAGCAAAGAAAAGCAGGAATAATTATTTAGCGTTACAATCCCTGTCATTAACCATTTTCATAATTCGAAAACGTCAGTCATCAGTGCCTATGGCGCTCGACACATTCGCTACCACCGCTAATTTCGCTGACGGCCTCCACAATTATATTTTCTTCAATCCAACAAATCTAAAGAAAACATTCAATGAAACTGAGCCGAGTCATCGAGTTCCTAAATACAATGTAGTCTCAAAATAGCATTAACTCCATTTTCACCGTGTAAAATCCAAAATTAGTCACAAACACGCGACGCTGGTAGCGAACGTGTCAGCGTTAGCCGTACCCATAAGAAAACCGCTTACTTGGACAATGATACGTAGCCCACTTCAACGCCATCACATGCTTGTAAGTCATGTTTCTGTAGGCATCGCGAAAGTTGCCTTGTATCAAATCTTTGTATTTCCTATTCTCCACCTCGAGGCTGGTCTGATGCTCATCGGACGAGCCGACTAGAAAGAGGAGCACGACGTCCGTCGACTGTTGGCCCCACGTCTCGCGGACAACGTTCCTCTTGAGGAAATTCTCGGGCGCCGAGTGGACGAGCATCAGCAGCAACGGGTGCGTCCGGTTGCACGGATCGTGGTTGATCGTGAACCTGAAATCCTTTATGTCGATCAGGCTCGATTTGTCACCGAACGGAAGTTCGTTCAGCAAGTACGGCTGGGGGGAGGGCGTCACGTTCGCGGGGAACAGCAACAGATAGCCGGGCGCTGTCGCGCCGCCAGCGTACGGCGTCATGGGGCCGTCGATGCGCAACCAGAACGAAAAGCATCCAGTCAGGGCCAAGGCGACCACGAAGATCAGGGTCCATGGCGACGAAGCGGATGCATGAAGCCGCCGCTTATCCAGCATACTAACGAGACCCTTTCATCATACGCGTTTCAGCCTGGCTGGAAAAAGGGAAGGCACTCATATTTCTCGTGGTTGTGTTACGCTCTCCGATGGGGACCAACATGGAGGACATTGGACGCGAGGGCGTTCGGTTACTCAACGCTTTATCATTTATTCGAGGAATTTTCATATTTGGAACACTAAGTCGCAAATAAATGACTTAAGCGTTTGCGGACGAAGATATCTTGATGTATAGGAAATTATACGATTGCTTAGATAATTGAAAAAAGAAACGTACTGACTTCTTGCTATTCGAGTAATTAAATCACCCGTCGGTGACTTAGCATTCTAAATATGAAAACTTCGTCTCGCCGAAATGCCGACATTCGTCCGCAGAGGGTTCATTACTTGAATGGCAAGTGTTATAGTTCCCTTTTTTATCATTGTTGACGCGTTCGATGTATAATTTAGCTTCGAATGTTGCAAGCTTCATGTACTTTAAAGAGTCTTCGTCTGCAAAGGGTTAAACATTTGTTGAAGTAACCGTTGAGTTACTTAACGCTTTATCGGTAGATTTCTCTGATAGTACCAATTAGTTGAAGTGAATATTCTAAGTTATTTTCCTGTGGGTGGTTTGGAACATTTGTTGAAGTTAATGAGTTTTCTTGAATGTAAATTCTGTGGAGAATAATAAATAAGATACCTCTCGATCGTGAAATAATACTGTACTCAGAGAAAAAGAACGTATTGTCGACACTGATTTTGAAAACAAATGGTGTTAATCAGTGTTAATTATTATACTTCAGAGTGGACATGAGCATGGAATATGCCTAGGACTTTTATCTTCTCGATAAATTATTAACGATAAAGTAGGTGCATCGAAGATAGTTGAGAAATAAATCGTAAGAGGTTAACCGCTTGCAATCTCCGGCAGAAGACGGGGCCGCCTCGCATCTGACCCGTGATAAAGTTCCTTTGTTGAACATTTTTTATATATCGTGTATCACTGGTTGAAGTGGGAACAATATACGCTTACGCATCTTGAACCACTGACGTATTTTGCGCATATATAATATTAACCTCTCGTCCTACAACGAGTGAGACTCGCGATGAAGATTTTCAACGTGATTCAACAAATATATATATTACTTAGTTAATTCGAATTCGAAATATTAGGTCTACCGGAAAGTTCTGTCCGTTCTTGGATTCAAAGAAAATACATTTCCCATACACTTATTAATATTTATTGAACAATATAATTTCAATCCTTACTAATGACCCTTTCCCAGCGTGAAGGTAATTTGTGGACCCCATTTCTGTAGAAAGACTCATCTTTGGAAATTTGAATAAATTTCTAATAAATATTATTCCGCCGTAATCAACTATTATACTTAACACTAGAACTACCGAGCATTTAATACGATTAATATGCAATTCCTATAAAAACTGTAACAATATTTTCAGTTTCTTCAGACACTCATTATAGTACTCGAATGAAACTATTTATTCTCAAAATCATTTCGAATATTCAATTCGAAGATATCAATAATTGCTAAATAAAAAAATCGAAACCAGTTATTCTGACTGATACTCAGATATGCTTAGAATTTTTATTTTTTTCCAATAAATTATTAACGACAAAGTAACCGTATCGATAAGAGTTGAGAAAGAAATCATTAAGCAAGTAAGCAAAGTACTGAGAAATAGGAGAGGCGTCCGATTATTTCTCAGGTTTCAAGTAAGATAACTCATTGTTTATTCGGTGACTCGTATTCGCGTTAAGCGTTACTAAACTCGACAGCGTTAAGCGTGAAACCTCGTTGTCGGTGTACCGACGCGTTTAGAGGCGGCTCGGGTCACCGGTGACCCGTATTCGCATTACAAACGGCTCAATTAATGTACGAGTTGATTACACATTTATTTTCAGTACTCGAGTTTCAAAGGTGGCGACGGACAATAAATGCTACTGGAAACGAAGCTAACTTCTGTTATCAGTTAGCAATTGATGACATTTCTACGGTTCATTAGCGTGATGAGTCAGGAATCGTTTGTATTCCGATCTATAAACTGATGAATAAATACAGTGTACATCGTCTCTACGTAATGAATTGTGGTAATCGATTGTTTTTAACCAATATTTCTAGCTGTATCTCATTCTCGAATTATAATAATATAAAGTTACAAAGTCGAATTCCTTATTCTTTCTGTAAGTTAGAAATATCGGTTTGATTGATCATTAAAAATGTATCGATACAATCACCGACACTCGCGTTTCCAGTAGCTGAAATGTGTTAACACGCCGCATTACGATTTTAGAGATTTCAGTTATAATTATATTTACATAATGAAAATGAAATTAGTCCTACAGATACTGTTCTTAGAAGTTATAAACTACAGTATATTTAGGAACTCAATGACTCGTTTCAGTTTCATTTCTCGAACATTTTGGTTAGAAGAGTTATTGGATCGAAGAAAATCTGAATCTTGAATCTTAAAGAAACTACCTTAAAATCATTCGATTCTCCGCACATCAAAATTCTGTACTAACAAGGAAAATAAGAGATCGAAAAAATGTTATAGCATTTCTAGTTTTCTACAAAAATTAGTTGCAGTTGCTGATAGATTACAAAACAACCTGAAGTGCTAAGGGTTAACTCGTGACCGGTCAACAACGTGTTAACCCATTGCACTCGAGAATATTTTTCTCGATGAATATTCATTACATTCCGATGAAATGTCAATGATATTTTTTGCAATTTACATAAAGAAATACCTCGCATAAATTACGCGACAGAACTGTTTTATTCCGATGTTTTATGTGTTCGTACATTACATAAAATTTGATATTGAACTTTCAATTTTACAATGTTCTCGGGTCGAATCAAATGGCGACCGGAAGGCGCCTCTCGAGTTAATTGCGCACATGCCTCATTTTCGGGGAAACTACACAATTGTCGGATTTTCTACAATTTTCTCAAAGAATCAAAATACACAAGTGAAATTCGTTTTATCGATATTAATTGAAGCGTATTAACTCAAGTATCCGTTGATTTCCGTTAACTCTTTCACGTACGGTGACACCAACGTGGTGCCATTCGCATCCCGTTTATTATTTGCGGTGACCTCAACGTGGTGCTATTAGAAATTACACGTATTATTAAATGCACGTATTACACGTATTTACGCGTATCATTCGACAAAAAGCAGCTAAGTTTATCATGTTGTAATGAATTTTATATTTGTACATTTTAACGAACAACTTTGCAAAAAGTTCCGGCGACAGGGAAGGAAACTTTTGGGAACCGTGCGAACGTGAAAGTGTTAAGACGTGAGTCAGGAATAAATGTGAACGTGTAAATGGTAACTATGTCCGGCTCGCGCTACGCGCTTCTCCGCGAGTGAACGCATTGAACAGATAACGATAGGAAAGTGAAAGTGTTCGGCGAGGCCGATTACCGATTTTCTTAACTGCCTCGAGCCGACGATTTCGCACCACTCTAAGGTCTCGGTTATGACATCGGAACGCCGGCTGAACCTCCTTGAAAGGCACAGGACGGACTAATAAGAAACTTACCGAGTGCATCGGCAGAGCAGAGAAACTACCGATAAGTACTATCATCTGCCATAGCAACGAATAACCGATGACGCACTGATAGATAAATTGTGAAACATACGAAACATTCAACGTACAAAGCTAAATTATATATTAATTGCTTAATTAATAGAAGAAAAGGAAACTGCGGTCTGATCTCTTGCTATTCGACTAATTAAATCATTTGTTCAAGTTAGTCTTCATGAATATTTCATCTTATCCTAACCATCGCAAAGGGTTGATGTGTTAACGATAATGAATAGAATGAATGAATAATGAACTCGAATCAAATTTAATGTTTTCTTAAATACTGTAGTAATTAGCGAAGTTGCATAGCTAAGTGTCTTCACAAAAAAACGAGATTTCTCGTTATCAGTGCGCAATGAGTTAATAGCGAGTCTATTTTTATTATTTTAAATAGATAATGAATTCGAATCAAATTTAATATTTTTTAAACACTGTAATTAGCGAAGTTGCATAACTAAGTGTTTTCACAAAAAAACGAGCTTTCTCGTTATCAGTGCGCAATGAGTTAATAGCGAGTCTATTTTTATTACAATGTATTTTAACACATTGAATGCCATGGGGGTCACCGGTGACCCCGACCAAATCGAATTGCTATAGTTCACTAAATGAAACGACGATTATATGAAAACAATTCTATATTGTAAATAATGCTTCATAATACAGTGGCATTCAGCTAGATGAACGTGGAATAGTAATGCAAATCAATCAAATGATTTAATATTATATTTTTTCCATTCGGCGTATTTTCCTCTGTGAAATCGTGCGGCGTTCAACGTGTTGAATAGATAATTCGAATGAAATTTAATATTTTTCTAAGTACCATAGTAATCAGCAGAATTACATAGCTAAGTGTCTTTATACTTAATTAAAAACCTCTCGTTGCCAGTACGCAATATGTTAATAATCTCGTTAGCCTTGCTTCATATAGTCCGTGTGGTGTAAGGTAAAAATACATCGTTTCGAGTGAGCGCCAAGTCGACTATCACCGTTTAGTTCAATTAATAGTTTGATATTGACTGTCTCAGTGATGTCAACGGTTTCCTCTGAAATTTTGACAAATTTATCGAATAACCTACAAACCGTAGAATCAGAAAATTGTTTTTAACTTATCGAACTATCAACTATAAATCTCAAAATAATTTACTAACATTCACTGGTCGGAAATCATCGCATGAAAGCAAGGTAAAAATACATCGTTTCGAGTGAGCGCCAAGTCAACTATCAACGTTTAGTTAAATTAATAGTTTAACATTGATTGTCCCAATGATGTCAACGGTTTTCTCTGAAATTTCGATAAACATCGAATGACCTTCAAACCGTAGAATCAGAAAATTGTTTTTAACTTATCGAACTATCGACTGTGAGTCTCAAAATCATTAATCATCACACGGTACTGTACACAGTCGAAAGAAAAGGTAAAAATACATCGTTTCGAGTGAGCGCCAAGTCAACTGTCAACGTTCAGTTCAATTAATAGTTCAATATTGATTGGCTTAATAACGTTAACGGTTTTCTCTGAAATTTTGATAAATATCGAATGACCCTCAAACTGTCAGAATCAGAGAATTGTTTTTAAACTTATCGAATTATAGACTATGAATTTGAAAATAATTCGCTAACGTTCACTGGTCGGAAATCATCGCACGAAGGTACTGTACACAGTCGAAAGAAAACATTGGGAATGTATTTCTGGCTCGTGAGTTTCAGCGTAGAGACTGTCAAGTACGAAGGAATGTTATAGTCTCTTAAGCCAACTTCACACGATGATACACGTACTCGCTGTCCACACCTAGCATCGTGAACTGCAGATTGTGCAAATGTAAGTGCATGCGAGATACGTTATCGGGAATAAAATATTCGATTGGGAAAATGAATTCAGTGGTTTTTTCTCAACAAATTTACCATTTGCGAGCAAAAAGTAATATTCTTCGTGCACTACCTTATGACTTGACGTCTTTGTGGCAAAGAAGGGGTACTTCAAAATGGCGGGGAAATTTTCAATTACGAGTAGGTCCTTAATTGATACGATTAAAGCGCAGTTTTTTCAAATTTTTTAAATACTCTTCTTATTTTTAAAAGGAATTATAAATATGCTGTTTAGTTGCTCTAGTCGCTAATAGTTCTAGCATGATCAATGACTTTCGTTGTTATAAACGGATTCACTTAAGCCCGTGGTGATAAGAACTATCGGAGCATCTAATATTCACACGTGTATCTGTTCAAGGTCATAAGAAATGGAACTGCTGTGTCATAATAACAGTAATGCTAATAGTCTCTAACTCTAACAATGACTTCTAACAGTAGAATTTGAAATACAGTGAAATAAGATTTATAAAAGACCAAGGAAAAATATAATATAATTTAACATTTCTCGAAAATCTATTTAATCTATCCTCGAATTCTTCCTTACACGAAATGAGTTAATTAGTATCTCAATCCATATATGTTAAAAATTATTTAATTTATTTACTAGAAACTATTAGATACCATAAAACATTACGTACACCCTATGTGTTTCGACGTCTATACGTTGCGAGGTTCCCTACATGTGTACAAACACCTGGCCACATACGTTAACGGTTCGTATAAGAGATAAAAAACCAGTTTTCAATTGACGTTACTCATTAACTTCTCTGTTTGTTTTGACGTGTCATGCGAGCAGTAACAGCTCCTCCCGAGGTTGTTCAAATAATCCACGGTTGCACGCGTGCGAACCATGACAGAAGGAAGCGAAGAACCATAGAGTGTTTTCGGTATCGAACTAGGCGAAGTTTAGAAAGCAGTCGCGGACGTAAATAAAACTTTCACCGTCGGCATTCCCATTAGATAGAATTCGAACGCTTCGAGAACGTTTCCGCCTGGTGTTCCAATATTATTCGCTCGCGGCCGCGACGCACGCTGACTGGTACTATGTTTCCCCTAATAAACTTTAAAGAACGCCAGTAGCATGATCCGCGATAAATAATTGAACAAGAGCAGCGTACACGACCGAGGCTCGACCGACTGTCGTCGACTCGATTATCGTTCCCCACTACGAGTGTCGTTCGGTGAACGTCTACGCTCTATTAATTGTCAAATGCCAAAACGAAAACACACCGTCGCACCGAATGAATATTTCATAGAAACCCACCTGGCACAACGGCGAAACTCAACGTTCGGACGTTCGATTTCGTTTCAATCAGAGTGTTGACAATCGGGTCTTAAAAGCCCAGTGAACGAAAGGTAAAAACGGCAGACGGAAACGTACGCTCGGAAGAGGAGTGAAAGAGAAAAACAACAAATAGAGCGACTCGAGAGATACTCACAACTCACGTGCGGCGAGAAAACTTCAGAAATGCGTGTGCATCCGTCGAGCGGTCGGGTACTTTGTTCCCCGCATTCGGGGAGAGTGTTGTCGAAGGCTGGACGCCGCCGAAACGCGATGCGGTCACAGGAGGATTTTGCGGTTATGTCAGACCACCGCGTTGTCGATGATCCGCCGCGTTCGGTCGCGGCATATTACACACGGACCCGTTCCCCGGTGGCAGAGTCGCAGCGTAGCCGCGCGTCAAACGCGCGAGAATCCACCGCGTGGTGCTTCAGCAGTTCTCTTTCTTTTTTTTCCTGACACCCCTCATCTTTTCCTTCCTGTTTGTTTGTTTAATCGGCCGCCCTCACGCAGATCGGACACCGACGGACCATGTGTATGAAGACTCGGTAGGAGGCGAAGCCGCGGCACGACGCGTATTTGACATAGGCGAAGCGTGGTTTAGGTCTTAGGATAACGGGTGACATGATGGACCTTCCGGGACTCGTTGTAATCGGAGCAACGCCCATTCTACAGCACCGTTCAAAACGGACGGCCGGCTTTCACCGGCGCTGGACAACTGGCGGACGGGATTCGAGAGAGATCCGTCTTGTGTCGCGGTATTTAATGGCGAATAACGGTAGAGTATGGTATTTACCTACTTGGGTAATTTGTGAGTTTTCTTGGGAAGGTGTTCGCGAGGGAGATAATTTATTTAAGTTATTTAGTGACTGCGATCTGTATTGAATTTTGAATTTAGATTTTTGTGGGTCTGTTTTCGTGCGGAAAGGAAAGAGCTTCATTATCGACGGAGGAATTCTGGGAGGATTATTTTTGTGATGAGATCTGTGGTTGTTATGTGGATTTACTTGTGTTGTGGAAATTTATTAATGAGGAAGGATATGTAGTTCGGTGAAAATAGGGAATTAATGTAAATGAATGCAGATGATAAATGTAATTAGATGTATTGAACGTGTGAAGTACTTGCGCCATCTATGGTGAAGTACGTATGATACAGATCCACTGACTTGAAATATGGACTGTGAGTCTGCGCTGACAGTTTGGGCGTTTTATTCTAGATGGTGCTGACTTTGTGGGAATTAGGAGAAATTTTGAATTCTAGAAACTACCTTCTGATTCTGTACAATGAAATGTGATTTTTAGTATGTTGTCGCAGTTTTTATTTATTGGCAGCCATCTTGTCTTAACATAGAAACTTTTAGTTTTGTTAAAAATCATGGTTGGATTCAATAGAGAGGAGATAGAAATAAAATAGACCGCGATGAGGAAACAGAAAGTGAAATAAAGAAGACAGAACTGAAAATATACATAATTTTATCATATAATACCATTTTCACTCTTTTAGATAGTTTTTTAATTTTGTACAAGTCTAACTCTTCAAATACAACATTGTAATTGTTACAATAAGTCTTAATTCTTTTTCTATTTCAACAAGTGGTTTTTGAAATACATTTCTTGTGCTTTAATTTTAGTTATCTATAGCACTGAAATTAATTTACAAATTCCAATAACAGGAATTGTTTGAATTCGTTGGTACAGTAGAATATTTTTAACAGTATCGATAAAGTAGAACCGTAGACAAAAAATTACGTTGCACGAGGAATCTTTATTAATCTTAAATCCAAATCTGTGACTAAAATCACGTTGATGCGTATTAATTCTTCTGCATCCTGCCAGGCGACGCTTTGGGGAACCAATGTCATTTTCACAGTACGTGTAAACTAACCTGAATCAAGCTAAATATACAAAGTATAATACACGTATCGTTTTATGTACGTTTGTGCAATCAGATTTCTTTGTACGTAATGTGAATAAGTCGACTTATCGGTGTGCAAGGCTAAAATCATTATTTTTGTAAATGTAAACAGGATATTCTACGACAGCAAATACTCCTTCCAATTTGAATGAAATTGCGCGTTAAACACGAAGAATTAATCCCAGAGGAAAGGCACAAGAAACGGAAAGGTAAATACAAAAGGAAACAATGTTGAAACGCAAATTTGATCAGATAGAAGATAATAGAGGGCCAGCAAAGAATTCGTTAGACTCGGATGAAGAAGATGATGCTAATGAAGATAATTACAATGTTATGAATGAAGATGAGATTGAAGGTACATAAGAATATATGAAATTGGATTCGGTTCAAATATTAATTACCTGTATTTTATATCAAGGTGTGGAGGATGGGCCAATTGCTGCTGAAACAAATGTGGGGTTTACAGCATTTAACATGAAAGAAGAGTTAGAGGAGGGCCACTTCGATAAAGAGGGCCATTATCTTTGGAATAAGGAGAAAGAGATAAGAGATAATTGGTTGGACAATATCGATTGGATGCAGGTTTGTCAAATGAATCAACAGTTCAGTTTTACATTTTAGGATAATTGATATTTTTGTGGTTCATCTTAGTTGTGACAAGAAAAGGGTTATTAACTTCTAGTACTGTATAAAGTAGATTTTTTATTATTTCAATAATCGCTTTTGTTTTTGGACTTCTACACATTGAAATTTCAGAATGTGTTTTTATACAGCAGCAAATAGAATTATCTGTAAACCCGCCTTGTTTACTCAGTGATGCAAAACATTACTAAGGCATAATCTTGATAGATCAAACCGAGTTCCACAGCAAGTACAAAGAAGGGAAACAAAAGCAGTGCTAAACATGGATTGGCTGATAGCGATAGTGATGATGAAGGTCCAGATATTATGTTCAATCCAGTTCACCTCTATAAACAAATATTGGAATACCTGAAACCTGGAGAAACAGTATCCAAGGCTTTGTGTAGGCTTGGTAAGTATTTCAATAAATGAAACTTTGTCCAGAAACAGATGGATTTATTGAATTGAGTAATTTTAGGTAAAGGAAAAAAGAGATTAACTACTGCAGAGAGATGGAAGAGGAAAAAAGAAAAGAAAGAAGTAGAAGATGATGGAAATTCCGTGGAAATTATAAAATTAACAGAATTAGCAAATGAATTGTTAACTCGTACAGGAAACATGGATATATATCAAGAAAGTTATGAGCATATAAAAAAGAAGGTTTGTTACTTTAACATATCCATACTAATATGCATTATAGTGATATAATTAACTTCACTGTGTTATTCTTTCTTATAGGTGGAAAAGTCTGAAAAGCATGCTCATCCTTCGAAGCAAGAAGCAGAATTAGATATGTATGCAGATGACTTTGATGAAAAAGAAAAAGCAAAGTTGGATGATGGTGGAGGTTATTATATTTTCTACGTAGTTTTCACTTTATTCTTTATTTCAATTAATTTACCTTTGAAACATTTATGAAACATTTTTTACAGGTAGCATCAGAGGAACAGCGCAATCTGAAAAAGATAATATTAAAGAAGAAGACGACGACGAAGAAGAAGAAGATGATGAAGTAATGTGGGAATTAAAATGGTCGCAGGACGAAAGTGCAGAAATTCATGGGCCTTACACGAGCCAGCAGATGCATGCGTGGGCCAAGGAAGGATATTTTAAAAGTGGAGCGTGGGTACGAAAAAAAGGACAAACTAATCAATTCTATAACGCCGCAAGAATGGATTTCGAACTCTATCTGTGATATTTTCATTCAGTATAACCCCGACTAATTAAACAAAAAAGAAGAAAAAAGCAAATAGTACATTAATATTTTGACAATATTGTAAAGCTTGATCAAACACTGTGAAACAATAGCGTGATTAACGAGTTTAGCTAGTGACTATATCGACACACGTGACGATCGTTTCGACAGAATAGAGTTGGATTAATCATTCAGAGTCCATAGCTGGAATGTTGCATTTATCACGTGCTTAGCAGGCTAATGTCTCGTTTATTTGTACTATCTCGGCTCGTTGAACACGCTGTAGTACCCTATTCGGTGTAATTGATATTCAACATGATTGAAAGCAATTCATGATTTAGTAGAGTGCCGAACATGTATAATACTGTAACAAAGTTTAATGAAGAAACATTCAATAGTTACAACCTTGTAACAAGTTAAAAACTTTTCTCGTCTTTATTTAAACTAGCGTATCATCAGTACTAATACTGAGTAACAATTCATTCCACGATAAGTTGGATACAAGAGAGAAAGTGTCCATTTCTTAATACATATCGCACGAATAAAATTATCTGTTTGACAAATACAGTGGCATTCTTCGCTGTCTTTACAAATTTGGAAGATGCATACCTTCTTAACACTCAGCCAACCGAACGAGATCTCCCACTTTTCACTTAGCAACTTATTGCCTTTGATTCTGTTTATTTTTTCTTTAGTAAATCTTAAAGTGGGATTATTCGCAATTCATCAAATACGGTTCTTTTTACAAAACAAAGCTTTTAACCAAATTGTATGAGTTCAATTGAAGATAATGGAAGAGATTGTAGTTATAGTTCTTTTTAGGCGGTTGCCTAAGTGTTAAGCGTACTCTCAATCGTTCATCCTGCCGCCGTACTAAACGCCATCCGGCACGTTACTTAAAAAGAAGGGAGAAAAAAAAACCGAGCTCACACTTCAGAAACTTCCTGTGTATACCCGATGGGAATAGGGGTGGCGGAATTTATAGTTCGCGACGGCCGTGGTATTTTTAAATAGGGATTTTATCCCCAAAGTAAATCTATTTGTACCCGAGCATAAAACCTTTACGATCACCCCTATTTATTTAGCGAAGTGGGGTCCGATGTCCTCCCATTACTTTTACGTGTTCAGAAAAATCAATTTTAGACGTTTTCGAACGCCTTATATTCATCTGAATCGCGAGTTCAAATTATAAACAAATTAGTCTCATTCAAACACAAAGCAAATCGTTGACACGTTGAATGCCATGGGGGGTCACCGGTGACCCAACTAAATCGGATTACTGTAGTTCGCTCAATTAAATGATTATTTGAAAATATTTGTATATTATAAATAATGCTATCTAATACGGTGACATCCAGTTATATGAACGTGCAATAATAATGCAATTCATTCAAATTTAATACACTTCTCCCATTTTGTGTATTTTGCTCTATGAAATCGGCATTTAACGTGTTAAAATAATTTCCTTAACCCCTTGCCTTACGGTAACGTGTCTCGTGATAAAAGTTTTCAATGGAACTCGACAAATGTAAATGTGATTTATTTATTTTTAACAAAATTAAATATTACTTGTCTGTTATCAATCTTTAACAGTTGTAAACTTGACGCAGAATGAGTGGAAATTTCTTGTCTTTTCTACTGAATTATGAACGATAAAGTTTCGTCAAGTACAATTGAGAAATAAATCATAGGGCAAGAGGTTAACACGTTCGCTACCATCGTTTATTTCGGAGGACCTCAATTGTATTTTCTTCAATCCAATAAATCTAAACAAAACGAAGAAATGAAACTGGAGTTGAGTTCCTAAATATAATGCTGCAGCTTATAATTTCAAATAACAAAATAAGATATTCTTATATAATTTATTAATATTAATAAAATTTCATTGTAAAATATAAAATTGCCACAAATATGCAGGCTGGTAACGAACGTGTGAAAGTTAGTGCTCGAAAAACAGAAAACTACACAAAGAGGATGCACAAAGACACAAGGATCAGGACAATCACAAAGCTACCACACTGACACACACCGGACAACACGAACACAAAGGTAGGGACTTCAACACAGTGGACCGTAAGTATGTACTGAATATACAATATAATTTTATTAGGTATCTTAAACATTTTTATTAGCAATGTATGAAATTTCTATATGGTTACTTAAAATATTTCGTGTATGTAAGTAAATCGTACATACATATGTACCCGTGAGTATGCATTTATGTATGCCTCTTTATAAATCGTTAAGTATAAATTCGTGGCTCCTCCCGAAAGTTCAGAAATCATTTCGGAGCGTGGTTTCAAGTACAACGCGAGATATCACTCTCGGAATTCGAACTCGTAAAATTCGACTGACAAAGACCGTCAAAAATTACACAACGAACGAAAATTACATCCTACGTTTGTTTATCGAACGTCGCGACAACTTACGCGGATCGATCGACCTTACCGTCGATAAAGTCGTTTCCGCCACGTTCGATCTAAGAGTTACGAACAGTTTTTCGCCGACTCGTGAAACAAACGGGTATTATTGCGTCTCGATTCACGATCCTTTCGAATACGAGGAAAAAGAAGCAAGAAAATAGTTACCAATTCCTTAACACGTGATTCTACGAAAATTCAGCAAGTTATATATATATAGTAAAATAGAGATCGTCACAGAGTTTTCGGTGTCTCTGAACTGCCACCTACTTTTGGCGGGACATGTTGCGAAGAGAAAAAGGTTAAGCGACTGTACAAAACGGCTATAAACACACGAAACTATTTACAGGAGAGACAGACACAGAGATATACAGTGCGTTAGATTTGCGCAGAGAGACTAACGGAAACAAGTATACAATGATTTGGTCTTCTTTTGTTGTTGTTGTTGTTGTTGTTGTTGTTGTTGTTGTCGTTGTTGTTGCTTCAATCGACAACGTACGTATCTGGGATCACAGAGGAAACGATCAGACGAAGGACAAAGATAAAAAGGTAAGAACGGCACAAACAGTGGACGCATTTGTAAGCCGGTTTCATAAACGCACGTAAGTATGCAAGCTGTAACAAAGCATTCTGACGAGCTTCGTAAACGATGAAAAATAAACAACGGTTTCTGTATTGTCTTAATTCTAATCTTAACTACTCTACACAGTTCTAAAGTACTCCATTAACGTTAAATATGCGAGCACGTGACACCACTGGCGGATACCTTATGGTGTTTGAGAAGACATCGCTCGGCTGCAGTTCGTATGGTATATATATTTATGATTTGTATAAATAATATAATAATAGGGCAGGTGTATAATAATAATTATATATTATTTATATGGATAATATATAATAATAAAATATAATGTTTATGATTTATGAATGATTCAGTGTAATACCAGAATGTAATAGGGTAATCACTGAAGTTGGTTAATTAGTGAATGGGAGCATTCTATTATTTCTGAAGCACCCTTTGTATCAAATAGTTACTAATACAATTAGAATTATTATAAAGTAAAATTTGAAGCAAGTTTTAATAAATTCAGTCAGAAATTTACATGTTTCTGCTGTGAATCACTGTAGAATCAAGTTATTCGTTAATTAACCTAATAAATTACTAGAAATATTCCGGTACATCTGGAGCATCTAGTATCTTACTGAATATTCAATATTTAAAAGAGGTACTTCGCAATAATTCTTTTGAGTTCATAAACATTATTCCATGGACATCAATTATACTTTGGATCATAATTTAAATCATAATTGAAGATATCACATGACAAGGGGTTAAACTAAACGCACCATTTTATATATCGCGAAATAACTAGTTGCAAAAGAAAAGCGAAAGTCAGATAAGTTTTTAGCAAAATTGAATTGCGTTGAGAAACTGATTAATCAGACAACATAGGAATTGATATAAAGTCAAATGAACGAAAGAAAGCACAGAGTTTTAAATGAAATTTGAACACTACCGCCGAGCACGCGATTAATACGTAATCCATACAAAAATTGTAACAATAGATTATTCTCAGTTTCTTCGAACGTTCATTGTATCAATTAACTATTCATTATCAATTTCATTTCGAATAATCGATGCTTCGGAGATAATCAATAATTACGAAACAAAGGAAACCACTGATTCTCACTGATACGGTGTTCTAGCGTTAACCCTTTGAACTCTAGGCTCCAATATTACACCAGTTATAATATTAAATATTTTAACGAATCAAAGAAACCCTAAAATTATTCGATTTTCCACAACCAAATTTTGTACTGCGAAGGAAACCAAAAGATCTCAATGAATGTTACATCATTTCTCATTTTCACTAAAGATCCCATAAAAATTAGTTGCAGTTGCTGATAAATTACAGAACCATCAGGAGTGCTGAAGGTTAACCAAGTTGCAAACAAATGATTCAACTATTCGAACAGCAAGAAATCAGTTTCCTCATTCTTTCTGATTTAAGTATTCAGCGTTTAACCCTTTGCACTCCATAGGCGCCTCTAAGTCAAATGATGACACAGCAAAACCCTAAACTTTGATATTTAATATTAAACTTTGCATAACGCACCAGTGTACGAAACATTGAAATTAAACGAAAACGAAAACATTTCTCAATTAAATCTAAGAAAATGTCTGTACCTCATTAGAAAACATTGAATATTTCCAGCGAGAAAAACTTCTGGATTGCAAAGGGTTAATTTAGAATCTGCGAAAGGTTTCGCGCGCTAAAAACAATCTTCATTCGCGAAGGGTTAAAACATCGTGGTACGTTCAGTTTTCAGGACAATCGAGGTCGACGAACGGGCGTGCACCCGAGCGATTCTTCTCAAACGTCAGGCACCGTCGCGTCATCGATGCTCATAGTTAGGGACATTAGCATCGTCGAAAAGGGCGAGGTAGGGACGGCACTCGAGCCGTCACCACCCGCGCGAAGAGAGCGAAGCGCTACCGTCTACGATTTACAAGCGGAATTACAGCCCGACAAAGGCCCTCGAAGAATCGTTACGGTATTCTCGCATCGTTGTTATGAAACCGGCGGAGATACTATCGTAGACAGAGAGAGACGGGAAAACGAACATTCATTAGAAATGAAAAAGTTCCTAATGGACACACAGAGACAGACAGACAGACAGACAGTTTCGCCGCGCGCACGCACGCACGCACGCACGCGAGAAACGGAAACGCGCGTTGCGTGCCTTCGCTTCTATGTACATACAAAAATAGCCGTCAATGGAGGGGAACGTCGCCTCAAACGCGTCGAAATCCACCCGCTACAAAACCGGAAAAAGGGACGCGACGAGAAAGAGAGGAAAAAGGAAAAGGGACCGAGGAGAAGCTGGCCGGAGACACGTTCGCGCCGCGCCCGCCATTTGTTTTTAGTTTCCACTTCTGTTTGAAGCTTCGTACGTTTTATATTTATACTCTGGTTCAATAACGTCCAACGTTCCGTTGTTGGTCAGTCGGACGGTTCGACTTTGTTAGTTATTCGATGCCGACATTCGTAGAGACTTCCACTGACAAATGTTTCGATCGAGATCGATTTAGTAGTTTCGGAAAGCTTTTCTCTCGTTGTTCGACTGTTTAACACGTTGACTG